ACAAGACACGTGGAGGATGCGGAGAAAAGATGCGACCGGGTTGACTATGCACCTGCTCAGGCCGTTCCATTGGTCAACGTCACTGCCACGCAGCTTTTGCCAGACTTGTGGAAAAAGGTTAGCGGATGGTCCTTTGTCATGTTCATGTGTTGGGTGATTTACGGCCGTTGGATTTTTTTGTGCTTTTGAGAATTTTGATTTCCAATATCTCATCCGCAATGTGCGCTCCTCAATATGCTGGGCCATGATTTTGATTTGAACTCATTCAAAACTTGGTAGTTTTTCCTTCGGCCAGTATCTAGCGGTGGTTTGCGAAGAATCAATGCAAATTTGAAAATCTAATCATTTTTTGTACTAATTTGAAATTTAACATGTAATGCTCAAAATTTTGAATAATAGCTCTCTCAACTTCCAAAATTTTACAACAAGACTTTTAAAATTTAAAATCTTATTTTATACTTCTATAAATAGTAGCACTTTTATATTTTACTGAGAAATGCCACGTGTTAGGAAAGTTTGTTGTCCATAATTTAATTTTTTGGAATTATTTATAGTTTGCGGAAGAGCATATGTTTTTCTGGGACTTTATTGGTGATCTAACAAAATTGAGGATATGATCAAATGAGCAGGCGCCACGTAGACAGTGCTGTGAGGTAATCAACGGCGGTAATGTAGTGGGTGGGGTCCAGGTGAAGATCAGAGGGTGTCACCAATTTGAGAGTGTGACCCCGCCGTAGGGGAAGGTCGGGGGCGATAATTACGAGTTGCAGAAATCACGCGGCACGTGGCAATCCACAATACGACAGTGGGTAAAACCTCGAAGGTGATGACCGCGTCAAACGGGGCGCCGTTTTGCCTGATTTCAAATTCTTCCACGGAGTCAGGGACTTACTTAACCATGGTGCAAAAAAAAAAAAAAAAAGCTCGTTAGTTGTACAAAGTATTTGCCCCCCGCCCTTTTTCATTTTAGTGAAATGATTTGATCTCTCGGCTGAGACCGCTCTTTTAAATTTTATTAACTTTTTTTTTTATATAAAGGTGACGAATGACTTCCTTTTTCATAAATGTGTGAAAAGGATATATCTTCATCATGAAGGAAAAATATATGTACTCATCATATTAAATGATGTGGTTATTAAAGATGCATAAGCTTGTCCTGACTTGGAGACCGGGGATAAAAAGTTGTGTACGAGACTTTTATTTTTCAAAGTAAATACACTTGGAATTGGGGCTTTGGAAGCACAAAAAGCACAAACAATGTGAACCGGGAAAAAAAAGCGAAAGATGTAATAATATTTAATAGTTTATTTACTTGTCTTGATTTAGGTTTTTATTTTATTATTAATATATATGGGCCATGTTTGAGATTATTATGTATTTTTTAATAGCACTGTTGTTAAATAAAGTGGAGAGGAGGGAGGGGTTGGCCTAAACATGAAGGTGGACACGCGGAATTTAGGAGGAGGAATGGTTCACCAACAAAAGGATAAAATGTCGTCCTTTATTAATTGTCGTCTCACCGAACACAGTACAAAATGTTCATTCATGTGCCCTTCCATCCACGCGTGGCCCACTTTCATAATTAACGTGGACGCCAACACTTGCTCATTTATTTCTTTTTCTAAAGATAAGAGGTAACTTTACCTGTGATTTTATTTTGTTATCTTGCCTCCACAATATTTATTACTCTTCCGATCTTTAATATAGGATCTAATTATTGAGTTGGTTTTGATTTTAAATATAAGACTCATTTTTCATATTTATCAATTTTCTCTAAATTACCTTTATAGATACTCCCTCAACCATAATCAAATAGAAGAGGGAGAGAGAGTATTAAGAAAGATGATTATGATGTTTTAGGAAAAATTTATCATATTTCTTATAAAAAACTAACTCACCTAATTTTTTAATCTAATCAAATTAGTTAAATGAGTTTTATATTAAGGACCGGAGGAGTATTAATTTATGAACCTTCTTAACGTCACAAAGGTCTAAGTGTCTATTCGCACGTAATATGTGAGTGTTGCTATATCTATCTACTTGCTATTTACATTTCACAGTGGTCCAAGAATTAAGAATATATTTGTTATTAGGCTGCCTTAAAAGGTAAAAGTGGATATAGTATAAATATACATGAGTTAATATAATCTTTAATTTGGTTCTTCAAATTTACTCTCATTGTAGTTTTAGTCACTTAAATTTCAAATAAGAGGTTTTGATCCTTTTAGAGGTAAAATGGTTCAAATTTTTATTGAATTATATAGGAACCAATATTTTAAATTAAAAAAACTTGAAGGATCAAAACCTATGATTTGAAACTTGAAGGACTAAAGTCAAAATGAAGATAGATTTAACGGACTAAAAGTTGTATTAAGCCGGTAAACATTAATGATCATATTTTCCTGATGTATAAAATAAATTTTTTTAATATGTTATATGTATGAATATTGTCTTATAATTAGTACATATTATAAATAAATTAGGATAATTCTAAAATGACCAGATGATGGAAGGTATGTTTACTTATTAGCGCAAACAAAAGGCTAAGCTAAACATTCCTAATTAAAAACCTATTAGGCATGATAAGTGTTTTATCTCCATTTATACGAACTATAAACAAGCACTTGCATAGTCCACTTTTCTCTTCGTTCTTAATTTTTTTATTTTTAGATACAAATTCAATTAAAACAAAGAAATTAGATTCATGTTATCAAAAAGAAGAAGAATACAAAATGAATGAATGAAATTAGATTCATACTGATGATACTATATATTGACCCCTTTTATTGTCAACTGATCCCTTGTTATTTATTTCCTCTTGTTCTCAGTATTATTAGCCAGGACACATGATTCTTGAATTATTTTCTAACAATTATTTATTATTGTTGTAATGGTTAGTTCGATTAAGATTAATATGGCTATGGTTTTTTTTTGGTATAATTTGTTTGAAAGAAAAAACAATCTTGAGTTATAATTTATTTCAAGGTGAGTGCTATTTTATTTTTGTCAATGAACTAAGATTTTTTTACATATAATTAGTCCAATAAAATCATTAGGATTAGGAAATAATGAAAAAAGAAAGAGTAAAGACACGTCTAACACTCCGAACTATTTTTGAAGGTACAGCCAACACTCTAAAATATTTAGTGGGGCAGTTTTGCTCCTAATATAATTAATTTGGTGCAATTTCACTCCTCCAATAACAGCTTAGAAAACGGAGGTTGATTCTTGCCAGATAAGCATTTTATTTTTTTAATAATAATGACACCTAAGCATAGAAAATGCCACTTGTATATTTTTCAAAAGAAAAATTGAACCTGGTGATCTGATTCTAAGCTTTAGCATTTTGGGTTTTTTTGAAAACCCATGCGAAAGCGGTAACCCCAACCCCTGTAGAAGAATTAAAGAAAAAGCCGGCCAGAGGAGGAAAGAATGAGAGGGGGAGGGCGGCGGACTTGAGGAATGAGGAGGAAGAATGAAAAAATAAAAAAAGAGAGAATCAGGAGGAAGGGTGATGAGGCAAGCCTTCTAGATGCAGTGACAGGAGAGCACGGGAAGATGAGACGGAGAGCCTGAGGTCTCCAAAAATGGATTTTGAACAATGCAAAAACTGTACATTTAACATTCCATTAGAAACGTAAAATTAAGGAATTTAATGCAAGAAAGTTAAAGATCTTCAAAGTACTCTGCTACGGAAAAATACTACTCCTCCGATCTTTAATATATGACTCAATTTTTAAATTGATTTTAATCCTAAATATAAGACTCATTTTTCATATTTATCAATTTTATTTAAATTATCCCTATGAATACTCCCTCAATCATAATCAAGTAGAAGAGGGAGAATGGGGTATTAAGAAAAATGATTATGGTGTTTTGGGGTATTAAGAAAGATGATTATAGTGTTTTAGAAAAAATATGTCAATTTTCTTATAATTAATTAACTTTCTAACTTCTTTAATCTAATCAAATTAATTAAATAGGTATTATATTAAGGAGAGGAGGAGTAATAAATTTGACAGTTGAAACGTCTGAAAAATTGGTCCGATAACGGCTTGGAGATTGCCTAATTTTCTTTTCTTTGCCAGTCGTCTCTTTCTGTAAATGCAGAACATCCATATACTAGATTGAACCAACACAAATACTGACGCAGGGGACACCGCCACAGCCAGAGTTTTGTGTTTTAGAAAACCTAAAAAGCTAAAGCCCAGTTTATCAAGTGCCTTTTTTTTTTAAAAAAAAAAGGTGGTATTTTCTATTATGTCCTTTTCCTAAACTGTTATTGGAGGTGTGAAATTGCACCAAATTAATTACATTATGGGCAAAATTGCACCATCAAACACTTTAGGGTATTAGATGCACCTCCAAAAATAATTCGGGGTGCTAAACGGATATTTACCCAAAAAGAAATTAGATTTAGAATTGTGTTACACTTTACAATACTTTGAATTTTAGTATATCAATTAGTATTTCATGATTGAAATATGATTTTGACTAATTCATGAAGACATTAAACTGATGTAGTCTTTTTGAGTGAAATAATATTTTCTTTTCTAATTTCATGATTTTTAAAGAAAAATCAAATATCCTTATAGAATGCACTTTGAAAATATTTTATTTTGAATCAATTTGTGTATGGTTCCAGTATTTTAAAAATCAAAACAGATGTCAAAATGAAGAGGCTGGCAAATCACGAATCAAACAATCAGATCGCACACAGATTAAATATGCATGTATGTGTGAACAAGGAATACAATATTTTATTCTCCCTTGTAAAATCTTTACCTTTGCAGAAAAAAATATGTACAAGCTTCCACATACCCATTTTAATGGAAAGAACTTATTGATTTGACCCAAAAAAAAAAAATCAAAGCTAAGACCAATCTTAAAAGAGAAATATGTATAGGAGTGTTCGTTGGATAAAATGAGATCAGGACACCCGATTTTCGTTTAGTGCTTTGTCCGTCCCTTGTTATAAACGACATAGGAGGAAGGAAGTCATGGAACAGTTTGTCACTACGAAACTCCAAGAGAAAGAAGATTCATTCCCACACCCAGACGATGACAGGTCCACTAACAAGGTTAAGATTCGAGATTTATCCAGCCAGGATGACACGAACATGCTATCCTATGACCTCATTACTCCATCGGACGATGAGCCGATAGATGAGGAACCGATTGTAACAGAAAGCATCAACACTGGCACTAGCTCGAAAGTCTCTCCGCCTTCGTTCAAAGATATGCTGCCCAACCAATTCACTGGACACAGTGGGGGAGAGGAAGACTTGGAGTTCCACAAAGGAGACATTAATATAGACAAAATAGGACCCATTCCTTCCATTGCTTTCTCGCCGCGTATACATAAACTGCTCAGTGATAGCATGAAATATGCGGTGGTGGTCAAAATGCTTGGCGGATATATCAGGTATGATGATTTAAGAAACAACATGTTAAGCCTTTGGAAGCTTATAGGGACAGTGCAGGTTACCGATGTGGAAGGCAACTGCTTCATTGCCAAACTAAGCAGCAAAAGAGATTACCATGAAGTTCTCCTGGGGGGCCCTTGGGTCATCTTCAGTCACTATCTTATGGTTCAACCGTGGTCCCCAAATTTCTCCCCACACTTGCACACTTCGTCAAAAGTTTTGGCTTGGATCAAAATCCCAGGGCTACCAACCAAATATTACAAGAAGAACGTCATTAGAGCAATAGGAGAGGTGCTGGGAACTGTTATGAGAATTGACCACAACACTGCCTCCAGGGCATGGGGCAAGTTTGCCTGAATGGCCGTCCTCATCGACCTCTCTGAGACTGACTTCCAAAACCGAAGTGGATAACTAGGTCTTCCTTTAATTGAATCAATTTGTGTATGGTTCCAATATTTTAAAAATTGAAACAGATGTCAAAATGGAAAGGCCAAGAAATTACAAATCAAACAATCAGATCACACGTAGATGAGATATGTATGTATATATGAACAAGTAATACAATATTTTTCTTCTCTCTTGTAAAATCTTTATATTTGCAGAAAAAAAATATGTACAAGCTTCCACATACCCATTTTAAGAGAAAGAACTTATTGATTTGACAAAAAAATCAAAGCTAAGAACAATCTTAAAAGAGAAACATGAATAGGAGTGTTCACGGGATCACAGGAGATCAGGACACCTGATTTTCGTTGCATGCTTGGTCCAGACACACGCGGGCCTTACGCTCAATTGCTTTCCAAGCCCATTATGATGGGGAATGGTTACAAATAGGACAACAGGAAGAACCAAAAAAAAAAAAAAGAGTGAATCTGCGGATGCCGAAAAAGAAATTGAAATTAATTACCTGTAAATCCGTTGCCATTGAGATCCAATTCTTTTAAGTCACATTTAGTATGAAGTATTAAAAATAAATAAAGAGTAAGGCTTGAGATTGAGATTGAGAAAAATTATTAAGAAGTACTACCTTCGGTCCTAATTATAAGACCCAGTTGACTTATTTGAGGAGATTAAGGAAGTAAGTTAAGTTAGTTATTTATAATAAATAAGTGTTTTCATTCCTAAAATATCCTTGCTAATTAAGTATATTGGCTAGAACTATCATTATTAGAAGGATTATCTTTGAAAAAAATGTATAAATATGAGAGACAAAATGAATTGGGGTCTTATAATTAGGACCAAATAAAAAGTCAAACGGGGTCTTATAATAAGGACCGGAGGTAGTATTTAGTATGAATAATTTCTTATTAAAATTGAGATTGAGAAAAATCATTAAAAAATATTTAGTATGAGTAATTTTTTATTATATGAGATTAGGCAATTCTATATAGGTGATATTGGAAAATACCATATTTGCACCGATTTCATAAATACAGGTTTATCTAATCCCAAATAACATACTAAATAAACTTTTAACAATTTTTTTTAATGCCAATTCTAATTCTTACTGTTTATTTTTAATGCTTCGTGTTAAACAGTATCTAAGTGGCATAGAAATTTTTAGCATCTCCGCTGGTTTATTTTTTGGGCCAAATGCCCCCTCTGGTATTAACCCGCATAATAAAATATTGTCGTGTTGCAAAACAGTAATTCTTGTCGGCCTGGTCAGACGGACCATGACTCCTTCTGGTAAAAAAAATAAAAAATAAAAAAAGGACGGACCATGACTCCTATAAACATTCCAGTAATTTAAGTCAGACAGTTAATATTAAAACAATATACTACTCATGCAATCCTAAAATTAGTTAGAATTTAAAAGATTTATTTTACCACTAAATATAAGATTTATTTTATTTTATTTTCTATTTTTTTTAAAGTTATCTCTCTCTTTTTTGTACAGTTGTCTCTATTAATTACATATATTAAAAGTTTTCATAGGAAGTTAGTTTCAACACAAGCAATTAAAGAGGAAATCATAAAAATCTAACACATATTTTCAGCATATAACTTATTCAACTAAATTTTTAATATATGTAATTAGTTATCTAAGTCACGCCTTAAGTAGAATGACCCGAGGGTCCATGAGTTAGTGTGATCGAGTTATGTAATCGGTTATATAAAAGGACAAAACTATAAAGTAATACTATCTCCTGTTCTTAATATAATAGCCAGTTGACTAATTTGAGTAAATTTAAAAAATAAATTTAGTTATTTGTAATAAATAGATGTTTTTTTCTTCTAAAATATCCTTACTAATATGAGAGATAAAGTATATTAAGATCTTGTATTTAGAATCAAAATAAAAATAAAATGAGTTCTTATATTAATTACTGCTTGCAAAGTCCTCGAAATGAAATAAGGTTTGTATTCCCATTACTCTGGTCGCGTACATTACCTTTTTTTTTTTGATGACCATCAGCAAAAGCGCTAAGCTACGTCAGATATAACAAGATTAACAACAAAATCCGGAGGAGAATAAAGAAAGCTTATTCCCTCAACAACATTCAGCGGCTTCTTGGCTAACATGCAGCCACTGTATTTGCATCCCAACCACACCATGCTAAGCTTGCGTCCCAATCCTTTCCTAGCCATCCTTGAATCTCAACAAGAATGTCCTTGTCCAAGTGTTCATCATGCCAACCAGTGTCAAGAATTTCCACAAGCTCCCAACAGTCAGTTTCAATGACGACCCATTTCCAATTCATATCCCATGCTCTTTTAAGGCCCCAAAGCACAGCCCAAGCTTCCGCATGAAAACTATTACCTTTGCCGATATGAAACATAAAACCATCAAGCCAATGCCCTTCATGATCCCTAGCCACACCACTACATGCTGCCACCAAGTCCCCATGGCCAGCTACTCCATCAACATTGTATTTGATACATCCCACCCAAGGTGGTTGCCAACTACAAATCAATCGTGCTTGACTATTAAGACCATTGGCACTCGCATACGAACACGCAATAATGGCCTTTGACTGGGCAACAACAGAGAGACTTCCCTTTGATTTTCGATTAAAAACACCATCATTCCTATTCAACCAAATCTGCCGAGCTAAGACAACAAACCAAATGCACCAAGGAACTTCCAAGACTCTACATTTTAGACCAATATTCCAGTTGATCCACTGTATAAAATCCACACTATCAAAGAACTTGAGCTTAATCTGATTAGGTACAAGTGCTTCCTAGCAAGCGCGTGCGATCTGACAATCACGCAACGCATGAAGTGCATGTTCACATGTAGCCCCACAAAGGTCACAATTCGAATGATTATCTATCCCTCGCACAGTTCGTAGATTATTCGTATGTAACCTGCCCCTCCTACAAATCCAGAGGAAGGTTTTGCACCTTTGGGGAACTGGCAGTTTCCAAATCCTCCTCCATAAATTCCTATTAGTGTTCGCATTCTGGCTGCAAAGCATGTTATATGCAGACTTCACTGTGAAGCTTCCATTATTAGTAAGTCTCCATCTTGGACTATCAGATGAGCCCCAAATGGCTTGAAGCGGAACACGCCCTACCGTTGTGAGCACTGCAGGGGGGAGGAACAAAGTAGAACGATCCCAGTTCCATGAACCTGAAGCAGTAATATAATTAGCAACCTTTTCATCACGCATAGGTTCTGCAATATCTCTGATCGCATAAGAACGAAGATGATCATGGTTCGGTAGCCAAGCGTCTTCCCAAAACCGAATTTGATCACCATTACCTAGATGCCAACCAATACCTTTTTGGGTATATTCCCAAGCTAGAGTAATACCCTTCCAAGTCTGTGAGACATTTTTGTGCTTTTTAATATGAGGAATTACATCATCACCACATTTATCTTTTCTCTCAAAAGTTGGACCCAAAGAGCATCCCGTCGTTTCACAAGGCCCAGCCAAGCTTCATCATAAAGGCTATATTTTGCTTATGAGCGTGTCTCAAGCCCAAGCCACCCTGTTCCTTACACTTGCAAACTTCATCCCAAGCCACATTATGTATCTTCCTTGATGCACTCGTGCTACCCCAGAGAAAGTTACGACATTTTTATCGATCTCATCACAGACATTAACCGGTAACAATGTTGATTGCATGGGGTAATTCGGTATTGCCGAGACCATCGAGGATACCAATGTGTATCAAGCTACCAAAGAAAGGGTATTTGCCTTCCAATTAGTAAGCGGTTGGTCCATCTTATTGAGCACATACTCAAATGTATGTTTTGAAACACGGTCATGCTGTAGAGGAACTCCCAGATATTTCCCCAAGTCGCTCGTGGGGTAAACCCAAGAAACTTACTAATCTCGTCCCTTCGATTATGATTCACATCCTTTGAGAAAAAAATCCTGGATTTCATATTATTCACTATCTCCCCTGAAGCTGCACAGAAGTCATCCAGGCATGCTTTAATGAGACCTGCTTGATCCAGACTAGCCTCCGCGAATAAAATGAGATCATCTGCAAAGAAAACATGAGAAATGGCCGTACCATGTTGCTTCAATCGAAAGGGTAGCCAATTCCCAGTGACCACCTCATTTTGAATAAGATGGCCTAATTTTTCCATTATTATGACAAACACATAAAGCTCCGTTAATTTGAGGATGTCCCGTGAATTCGGGTCCATTCCACTGCCAAAGATCGCCTTCAGCGTTTATTCTACGCACCAATAATGCCCCATGTCCAACTACGACCAATAACACCTCAGCTTTTGTTACTTCACACAGTTTCCATCCTCCCACCCAAACACTGCTCATCTTCCACTTTCCCATGTCTTCTTCTTCCAAAGTTCTTCAACATCTTCAATCATGGAAATTCACTCTCTCTATCTTCCTCAAAATCTGTCTCGTCCTTCCCCCCTTCCTCCTCCTCATCTTCTTCTTCCACAAAGTTCATCTTTACAATCGTACTCCACAATTCAACTTCAACCATTACATTCAGCACTATACCACAAACACCGCTCCTGCCGTGGACGATCGAGAGCCCACTAATATCTCTCATATTCTGTTCGGTCTCGCCGGCTCCGTCAAGACCTGGCCCAAGCGCCGGCCATACGTCGAGCTATACTGGCAGCCTAGCGTTACCAAAGGCTTCGTGTGGATGGACCAAAATCCTCCGGAAAACGAGACATGGCCACAGACTTCGCCTCCCTACAAAGTCTCCGCCAATACATCGTCCTTCAACTACACCTGCTGGTACGGTGACAGGTCCGCCGTTCGACTCACGCGAATCCTAAAGGAAAGCTTCGAACTGGGCTTAAAAAACGTGAGGTGGTTTGTCATGGGAGATGACGACACTTTGTTTTTCCCCGAGAACTTAGTTACAGTATTGGCGAAGTATGACCACAACGATTTGTACTACATAGGAGCAGATTC